TTTTTTCTTGTTTTTAGGCTTAGTGGGTGGACACCTGAATCTGTGAGCTGTTTGCCGGTAGGCATCTCTCAGTGGAAGGAGAAAACCCTTTTTATTTTTTTCTTGTTTTTAGGTTTAGTTGGTAGACACCTGAATCTGAGAGCTGTTTACCGGGCAGCTCTCAGTGGAAGGATCAGAAAACCTTTATTTGATTTTAGGCTTTATAGTGGGTGGACACTGTGAGCTGTTTGCTGGTAGGCATCTCAGTGGAAGGAGAAAACCCTTTTTTATTTTTATTTTAGGACTGATTACATCTAAATATTGCAATTATTGTTGTGTTTTTATTTGAACTTGATTATTGACCAAAGTATTAAGGAAAACTAGCCATGCAATATGCAATTTGAATAGTTGGTTTGTATTTATTGTACAGTTTGGATATTCCCTTTCTCTTCTTACAGTTTTGGTCCTTCTGCCCTTTTTTCCTTATCTTTTTTTCAGGTATAAATTGTTGCTGCTCAAGGAAAGAAGAATGTGAAAGAAGTATTGAAGAAGTGAGAAGACCAACAAGCCATCCAAAAACAAATGATGTCTTGATTGTTGATAAAAATGGTTACAATTAAAATGAATGTAACTTTAATAACAAATTTGATGATACAATGTGTAAATAAACTATAAAATGATATAATTATCATTGAAACAATTGCACATGATCTTTGGCTTCTTTATTATTTATAGATCTTGTTTGACAAATGCAGAAAATCGAGCTGTGCTCCTCCCTTGACGGTCGAATTTTTTATAAATGTAATTGCCAATTATTATTTCTGAATTCAGAGTATATTTTTAAAGTTAAATATCTAGACACAGTAAGAGAAGAAGAAAAGAATTAGCTAAAATAATACACAGATGGATGAAATTAAAAGATCGAACGAAACGAAATTAAAATTTATAGCAGAGGACCGTTTCCGATCTCTTATTCAAAAATACAAAAAATACAAAAAATGGATTTTGTTTTTTGTTATGACATTTAACGTGCTGTCTCCATCGCCTTCACCCTCCCCTCCTCAGTCGATCTTTTATAGGTCCCGACCTTTACATTTAAATCGGTGACGATGTAACCGATGAAGATTATAAGTTACGATCGGTAAGTTTTTCCCATCGTACACGATACGAGAGAACTTCGAACCAATCGTGCACGATTTAATCGCAGGCGATCTTTTGATCGTGCACGATCATGACAAAACCGATCAATCGTGTACGATTCTAAATGCTCCGGAAATCGTGCGCGATCTCCCAGATAGACGCCTTGATCCTACTGTATTCCTAAGTAAAGTAAGCTTAAATGAAAATAATGGTAAAAAAAACAACTGCAGTAAACTTACCCAAGTCTGTTTATTGATGAAGTAGGAGTGCTAAAACAAAAACAAATGCAAGAACACAATTTCAATCAAAAGTTTAAAAGAATTTTGACAATCTCTTTCATGTTTAACATGAATTTAAATGGATTGTATAATCAATTAAAGAAATCAATTGCTTGTGATCTTGCCATAATTTTTATCTGAGCGACAGCACACAATTTGTACATGACCAAACAAGGTTAATAGAAATCTTACTTTGAAACTTACCTTATAGTTGGGAAAACGGGGGATGCAGATCTGGACCTATAATTATAAACAATATCTTTTTTAAATCTTGATTAATAAAATGGACATTTCATTCTAATATTTGATCATTCAATGAACAAAACTCACGACAATATAATTATTACAAAAACAATATTAACACATGCAGGATAATACTGTCCTTTTACTCATTGATCATAATTTTACATTCTCTATGATTCTTCTGCTCTTTTTTTATTTTTATAATAAATCATCACAGTAAACTTTAAACTTACACGATACGCTCTGTTGAGCTTGTTGGTGACGGGGTCAGTAATGCCGTACCAATTGAAACCTGCTTTTTGATTGCTCCTTAAGTACAGCACCACTATTGTTAGTTTAGGTTTTGTTATATTGTTGGAAGACTTATCTATTGTTTGTCCATTATTTTCTCAACCTATCATGAGACCCGTTCCGAGCGGTGCTACCTGGCTCGACGGGGTTGGGCTTAATACAACCCTTCGTCTGCAAGAAAAAAGGAAAGTACCACATTAGATATACACAAACAGTGAATACAGTCCTAATACACTTAGCCACATTATACCATATACTAGATCATGCATTACCTATAATGATCAAAATAAAGCTTCCTAAACTTACACTGCAGCAGTAGGTGACATGTCAGCAGGGTCAATCGCCACCCTTCTCCTAAAATATAGTAACTCATGATATGAGAAAAAATATACAACGTGTAAASAAATATCACTTCTTAAGTTAACCTACATTTGAGATTATAAAACTCACCTTGCCATATGCTGGATCCTTGGGGGTGTTGTCTGCAGTGTTTTGACCAGGAATTTGTTACAGGGGGACAATGGGCCCATTACCCTGAAATCTAGGGGCCATCCAGAGATTTTTGAGGGCCATTTCCAAAAATAGATTTTTTCATATATCACAAATACACACACTATATCAAAATACAACAAYAACATGTTTATTAGAGTTTTGTAAAACATGAATTAAACATTATAGATGATTAAAATTGAACTATGATTGATGACTTGTGAGTGT